TGAACATATGCTCTGTCTATGTACAATCTTATTCCCTTTTACTGTGAATCCCTGGAATAGGGTGGGATTAGGGTTAGGGATTGTTAGTGGGTATGAATAAAAAAGAAGAAATAGTTCAATTAAAGAACTTTAATAACTAAAAATTGCATGAGAAATTAGGGCATGTTTCAGGCAATACATACAAAGAAAACATTTAATTTGAAAAATATGCTACCTCCATAATATATGCTTATACCCACTGGAATAATTCTGGGAGTAATTTATTGTAACCCAGACTTTCTGTAGTAGATACAATGACCTAGAATATCTATTCTCAATAGGTAACATAAATGGGTAGCTGAAGCACCTCTCAGTGGAACAGGACTGAACCTCATTGTTAATAACCTAGTGTTCCTTTTTTAAAGGAGGATTTTGGGTAAATAACTCTGGTTCTGGGTATGATGATGTTTAACAACCTGAGCTAGTGGCAACAGAGACTTTCTTTGTCACTCAGAAAGGATATATTGAGGAGCATCGTCACTCTTTCTGATGGCAATCTTCTTATCAGTTGCCACGGCCTAGAGAACAGGCACCTCCCACAAAGTTGTTCAGATGACAGATGGATCTTGCATGGAAGCTCAGAGTTAACTACCTTTCCAGAGATTCCTTTCCAGCTCAAGCGGGGATTTCAGAAGCCATTCAGCTAATGAACACTGACTGGCCAGCTGTTCCGTCTATAACACAATGAGGCCTTCAACTTGTCTGCAGCTTGGTACAATTTGTCAGCACAGGTGCTGCCGGTGGAAAGCTACTAAATTTCCACTTATGCTGGCATTTCACTAGAGGCGTTCAAGCCTTGCAGAGCTGGGAAGGGTTGTACTCTTAAATGATAGAAAGGAAGTTCAAACTTGTGGAGAGAAGAAGGAACTTGTAGGCAATGACCTGGTTTGTCCATGATGTCTCCTTGGTTGCTGAACTCAGTGCCTTGTCCTCCCTCGCCCTCCAGATGCTGTTCTGCCAGATTCATTAACTGATTAACCCTCCTTTTCATTTTCACACCAAACATTCCTAATATCCAAGAAATAAACACTGGGTTCATTGGCATATTGCTGACCTTGGACTGGCTATGGATTTGCTAGTTGGCTGTAGTTTACTCCTCAAGGCTTGCCTGAAGCTTTCATTCTCTTATGTGATGGGAGGAAAACTAATGAGAAATGGACCTAAAGACTGGATCAACACATGAATAGATGCTTTTTTTTCCTCACCCAAACATACATAGAAGGGAGGCAGATAGGATAAATACTCCCTAGTGAGACATGCCAGTCTAAAGTGAGTGGGAAGGGGAGACAAATATGGAAATCCTTTAGTCCACATATTAGAGTCTGGGGGTAGGGGACATCTTTAAATTCCTTTTAATTTGATCAATGATTTCATTTTCTAGTCTGAATGTGTCTAAATACAAGTCCAAGTTAAATACAACGAAACCCTTTGGACTCCTGATGTTAGGGTGGGAGGCCTACGCCTACTTTGTGAGATGGGTATTTTACTTTTTTTAAAGATTTTTATTGTTTTAACTTTTTCAATTACAGTTACATTAAATATTATTTTGTATTTTCATGTGTATAGCACAATGGTTAGACAATTATATACTTTACAAAGTGTTCTCCTCAATATTTCCAGTGCCCACCTGGTACCATACATAGTTATTACAATATGATTGTATTTCCTATGCTGTACGTTACATCCCTGTGACTGTTTTGTAACTGCTAGTCTGTACTTCTCAATCCCTTCATCTTTTTCACCCGGTCCCCCAAACCTCCTCCCTTCTGGCAACCACCAGGTTGTTCTCTATATGAGATGGGTCTTTTAATCTATTCTGTGTTTCTATTAGAAGGGAGATAGCTATATATTTTACAAGATCTATGATATGTCAGTGCCTTGTGCTGTGATATTTCTTCTCTTAGTTTCTCTCCCCACCCTTCTCTTTTTCCTGAGAACATGTAGAATAAGGCAGAAATTGCCTAGCTCCCTTTTACCTTTAATTTTGAAAACACCATGAGCCTGTCTGTATGAAGGATTCAGCCATCATTACCCCACATAATGCCCTCAACAAGCATCCGAGGTAAGCATTATCAGCACCATTTTACAGACAGGAAAATAAGGCTCAGGGAGGCAAATTCATGTCAGGTTACATAGCTGGTGGTACACCTGAGACTCAGGTCCGGATCGCATTAAAAAGCACCCCACTCCACATGACTAATCTGTATCAACATTATCTGTGTTTTCTTTTAAAAAGTTTGGAGAAAAAGAGAGCAAGTCCTTGATTTGGGTAAAAATGGAATTTCATAGACCTGCATCTTAATATACTTTCAGACTGATGAAATAATGAGAAGTCCAGGCATTCTCAGGGGTTGGAATAGTTGCTGTTCCCATAATCTTGTCTCTGTTTCATCAAATTTAAGTTGATTATGTCGCAATAAAAAAAGACCACTAAAACATAAAGCTGGACAATTTAACGTCATCTTTTGAGACTTGGTGGCCAGTGAATGGTTTATTCTCCTTTATTGCTATGTCATAAGGACAACCATAGCTTTGATTACAAAAATGTGGTTTTATTCCTCTTTCTATTCTACACAGGAAGTGCAGTAAGCCGTAGTGAGCTCTATTCAAGAGAAACAGGATCGGCAAGACACAGTGTGAGCACTTGCTCACCCAAGAAGCACTGCTCCTGTGGACTGATAGGCGTGTCTTGGAGAAAATATAGCAGTTGTCTAGGCGGGGTTAAGAAGGCCAGATGAGCCGAAGCCGGTTTGGCTCAGTGGATAGAGCGTCGGCCTGCGGACTGAAAGGTCCCGGGTTCGATTCCGGTCAAGGGCATGTACGTTGGTTGCGGGCACATCCCCAGTAGGAGATGTGCAGGAGGCAGCTGGTCGATGTTTCTCTCTCATCGATGTTTCTAACTCTCTATCCCTCTCTCTTCCATTCTGTAAAAAATCAATAAAATATATTTAAAAAAAAAAAAAAAAGAAGGCCAGATGCTGAGGAACAATGGTCCTGTGGGTCTCGTGGATGGCTGTTGTGAAGTAGATTATGCAGGTAAGGATTTGTCTAAACCCCAAACACTGAAATGGCCATCTCTAGGAAATGGAGCATGGCTGTTATGATGTGGACATTCAGCAACTCGAGGCCAAGAGGAACTTCAATAAAAAGAGGGAAAGCACATAAGTCGATTATATTTTGCCCACTTGGACAGACCTTTGCTTTTGAGGCTTGGCATATCGTTGGACACAGTACATCCTTCTGCTGTGTGCTTCAGGCTCTGTGGGCAGGTGTGCGGTTACCACTGTGCTGCCAGTGGGTTGGGGGCTGCTTGCTGAAGGAGTTTGTTGGCAGCTCCCGTGTGTCTTTCTGCTGTTCTTACCCCCACACCTTCATCTTCTTCCCTCACTGCTCACCTCAGGCAGGGCCGGGCTGTACCTCTAGCACCACCAGGAACTTGGGAGCTTTGCATTTATTCTTGAAATTGGTTGTTTCAATAGTTGAAAATTTATATGCTTAAACCTTGACAGAAGGTTAAATGCCATAATGTTTTCTTGAAAACTCTTCTTTACATTTGTAACTAAAATTTATTTTCAGCTTTTTCCAGCTTATTTTGTTGGAATTCTCTCTTATTGGTTGTGATTTTGCTATTAATTCTCAATTCATGGGAGCATTAAACTTGTTATGTCCTTTATTCATTGTTAGTTTTACAGTATTCACTATCCAGTGTATTTCAATTCCTTTAAGCATTTTGAATAGTGGCACTGGCCATGCCAAGCAAGTGTGAGGTTCCCATAGCCCTCTAAAGCAGAGATGATGGAAAAAAATATGAATCTTCACTTTTTTCAGAGGAAGTGGGGCCATAACTACCGGTATTCCAAAATGTGTAAAATCATTGCTATCCTAAACCATAGTATTGTTTTAGCACCCATGAGGCAATTTTGTATGTTTCAGAAGGAAATTCTTAATTTTTCTCTATATTACATTCAGTGTCTGATAAAAATCCCTAGTACCTATACATTTGTGCTGTTAGTCATTTAAAGACTTCTTTCTCACAAACTGTACCAGTTGACTTTGACCTGCCTTGTTATGATAAGTAGTTTGGTGTCTGTTATAAGTTGCATTGCTAATAATGTATGAGAATCATCAGGTTCACTACAATCCTTTTGGCCTGAAATGTTCACTTATCTTATTCATCTCATTTTGCTCAACCAGTCTTTCTAAGCTTGCTTTCTTGTTTCCATTGATTTCCCCAAGTCAAAGTCCTTATAATCAGTCCTGCCATAGAAGGTGCACTCAGAGTTCACCCTGAGCTGATCACAGATCCTCATATCTACCAAACAAAGTGGAATATATTGTGAAGAGGAAATTTGTTAAGTCCTTAGGGGTGGTGTCTCATGAGACTCACTAAGCATGTGGGCCAACATGCTTTCATGATTCTCATAATCTTTGTCTTTAAAATATTTTAAATTGTGGTAAAATAGACATAAAATGTAATTTACCATTTTAACAATTTCATAATGGTTACAGTTCAGTGGCATTCATATTGTGTAACCATCACTACTATTAATCTCCAGGAAATTCTTCATCTTGAAAAATGAAAACTCTTTACCCGTTAAATAGTAACTCCTCTTTCCTCTCTCCCCTAACTCCTGGCACTACTATTCTACTTTCTGTCTCTATGAATCTGAATGTTCTAGGTATTTTATATAAATGGAATCATACAATGTTTGTTCTTTTGTGACTGGCTTATTTTACCACAATGTCTTCAAGAGTCATCCATATTGTAGCATGTGTCAGACTTCCCTTCCCTTTTAAGGCTGCATAATAGTCCATTGTTTGTTTGTACTACATTTTTTTGTTGTCCATAGTATTTCATTGTTTATTTATCAAGAGAAACTATTCCTTAGCTCAAATATTCATGTTTCATAGTTCAGGAACACAGGTCAGTGACAAACTTCCATAGAATTCAACCCAAAGAAATTCTTTACATTCTAAGATCACTTTGTACTCTGAAAGACACCAGCCTTCCTCATCTCCTCAAAATCTTTCGTGGAATCATTTTTGTAGAAATCTGCATATGCCTTCTTTCTTGGTTCAGCTACACCAAACTCATAGGAAGCTGCAACCTCCAAGGATACAATGATGGCTCCAACAATATGAAATCTCAGACACTTGGCCAGAAGGTCACACATCTGAGGTTTTGGCAAAGCACTGGAAGACATGGTAGTTATATTCTCCCCACCACCAATGTCCTTCCTGAGGGAGAAGCGGATGACCTATACTATATTTTGTTTATCCATTCACCATTGATGAACACTTATTTGGGTTGCTTCCACCTTTTGGCTATTGCAAATAATGCTGCTATGAAGATGGGTGGACAAATATATTTTCAAGTCCTTGCTTTCAATTCTTTTGGGTCTATATCCAGAAGAGAAATTGTTGGATCATATGGTGATTCTATTTTTAATTTTTTGAGGAATTGCTATGTTTTCTGTAGTAGCTTCACTATTTCACATTCCCACCAGCATTTTTTTAAAAAAATTTTTCTTTATTGATTAAGGTATTACATATGTGTCCTTATCCCCCCATTGCCCCCCCCCCACTCATGCCCTCATTCCCCTGGTGTCTGTGTCCATTGGTTAGGCTTATATGCTTGCATACAAGTCCTTTGGTTGATCTCTCCCCTTTATCCCCCCCCTCCCCTACTTTCCCTCTGAGGTTTGACGGTCTGATCAATGCTTCTCTGTCTCTGGATCTGTTTTTGTTCATCAGTTTATGTTGTTCATTATATCCCACAAATGAGTGAGATCATGTGATATTTATCTTTCTCTGACTGGCTTATTTTGCTTAGCATAATGCTCTGCAGTTCCATCCATGATGTTGCAAATGGTAATAATTCCTTCTTTTTTACTGCAGCACAGTATTCCATTATGTAGATGTACCAAAGTTTTTTAATCCACTCATCTGCTGATGGGCACTTAGGCAGTTTCCAAATCTTAGCTATGGTAAATTGTGCGGCTATGAACATAGGGGTGCATATATCCTTTCTGATTGGTGTTTCTGGCTTCTTGGGATATATTCCTAGAAGTGGGATCACTGGGTCAAATGGGAGTTCCATTTTTAGTTTTTTGAGGAAACTCCATACTGTTCACCACAGTGGCTGCACCAATCTGCATTCCCACCAAGCAGTGCACAAGGGTTCCTTTTTCTCTACATCCTCATCAGCACTTGTCATTTGTTGATTTGTTGATGATAGCCATTCTGACATGTGTGAGATGGTACCGCATTGTCGTTTTGATTTGCATCTCTCAGATGATTTTCCCACCAGCATTGCACAAGAGTTCCAATTTCTCCACATCTTTACCAATACTTATCCTCTCTCTCCTCTCTCTCTCTCTCTCTCTCTCTCTCTCTCTCTCTCTCTCTAATAGCCATCCTAATAAATGTGAACTGCTATCTCAGTGTGGTTTTGATTCATATTTCCCCAATGATTAGTGTTGTAAAGCATCTTTTCATGTGCTTATTGGCTATTTGTGTATTTTCTTTGGAGAAATTCTTATTTAAGTCCTTTGCCGGTTTTTTGGTGTTGAGTTGTAGAAGTTCTTTATAATTTGTATAATTTGCAAATATGTTCTTCCATTCTATTGGTAGCCTCTTCTTGTTTCTAGCATCTTTTGATGCACAAAAGTTTTTCATTTTTATCTAATCTATTTATTTTTTTTTTCTTTTTCTGCCTTTGCACCCTTTGCCTTTCAATATTAAATCTCTTCCTGGTGTTTTTATTTTGGCAGAATAATCTTGGTTACTTCACGCTTATGTAAAACCTCACATTTAGACCTTTAATTAACCTCACTGCTAAACAAGCTGCTCACTTTTGCAGACACTGAAGCCCAGCCTGAGTGCTGCTCCATACGGAGGGTCCGAAAGCAAGCTGGGGGGCTGGGATCTCACATCCCCACGCTGACTTCTGCTTACGCTTTCCTGAACGGGAGTTCTGTTCTAACAATAACATTTTATTGAGTTTGCTTGACAGCCTCAGAGTCCTACCTTTTCCTCATCTATTTTTTCACTATTCATTGGTACTTATATTTTCTATTTGTTCAGTTAGTTTTATCTCTGTTGGTGTCATCTGAAAAATGAATGAGCATACTAAATACCCTAATCTAGGTCAGGGTTTTTAACTTTCCTGTTTTTTAAAGCAGGTGAACCCCTTTTGTGAACACAAGCTTAAGTGGGCGCTCAGTGTAGCTGTTAAGAGCAGGGAGAGCAGCCCCTGGTCTGTTTGGGAGCAGGGGATGCAGAGGTTCAGCTTGCTGTCCCTCCTCCAGCTCCTGAGGCTTTTCCTCTGAACCTCCATAGAGGCTTTGTGGACAGAAAAAGCTCCTGATGGGATGGGAAATGGTTCTCAGCCATTCACTTCCCCTTCCCCAATCCTGCTTACATCAAAGCAATTCAGCCTTTGAATGGTAAATGTATTTAGGAGTCCGGGTAACCTTCAACTTTAACAACAGGGTTCTCTGCCTGAACTAGCTGTTCAAAGATCCCCAATCTATTTTACTGACCAAAATGATAACCCACATGGGGCTGAAGATTCATAGCCTTGATTGACCTCTTGTGTCATCTCGATGTGGAGAGTGACCCAGTTTATTGATGAGCACTCCATGGAGGGAAGTTTCAAAGTCAGAGCAGACTCACCTGGTAAGGAGCCAGCTACTGAAACACACAAAACTTAGTTTTGATCCACAGACATTTTAAATTAAAAGGGAACTTAGACATCACTAGCTTAGAGCCAGTAAATGCTGTTTGGTTTGCATAGCATTTTAAAAATTAGTTGATAGCATTAAAAAATCACAAATGTTTACATAAAAATCATGGTTCTAGATTTTCTTGAAAATATTAGAAGGTCTGACAACACCAGGCCCATGGTCCTGTAGAGCAGTGATGAATCACTGTGGTGAGGACGGGGGCTTTAAAAAAATCTCAATGTCCAGTTTGCATGCCAGATAAATTAAATGATATTCTCTGTAGTTAGGACTCAGGCATAATATATATATTTTAAATTGTGATGAAGCACATGACATTAAATGTACCATCTTAATAATTTTTTTAAAAATATATTTTATTGATTTTTACAGAGAAGAAGGGAGAGGGATAGAGAGTTAGAAACATCGATGAGAGAGAGACATCGATCAGCTGCCTCCTGCACACCCCCTACTGGGGATGTGCCCGCAACCAAGGTACATGCCCTTGACCGGAATCGAACCTGGGACCCTTCAGTCTGCAGGCCGACGCTCTATCCACTGAGCCAAACCGGTTAGGGCCCATCTTAATAATTTTTAAGTGTACAGTTCAGTAGTTTTAAGTATATTCAATTTTGAGCAACAGATTTCTGGAACTTTTTCATCTTGCAAAACTGAAATTCCATACCACCCATGTGACAGGATTTCCTTCTCTTTTTGAGGCTGCACAATATTTCATTGTATGTATATACTGCATTTTGTTTATGCTTTCAACTGTCAATGGATATTCATAGGTTGCTTCTATTCCTAGTTATTGTGAATAATGCTGCTATGAACATGGGTATACAAATGTCTCTTTAACATACTGCTTTCAATTCTTTTGGATATATACTCAGAAGTGGGATTGCTGGGTCTTATGATAATTCTATTTTAATTTTTTTGAGGAACCTCCACACTGTTTTCCATAATCATTTTCCAGAGCGTACAAGGGTTCCAATTTCTCTGCATCCTTGTCATTTTTGATTTTTTTTTTAATATTGGCCATTCTTGGGTGTGAATTGCATTTATTATAGTTGTGATTTGCAAATTCTCTCATTTAGTGATGTCGAGCTTCTTTTTATATGCTTGTTGGCCATTTGTATATTTTCTTTGGAGAATTGTCTGTTCAAGTTTTTTGCCTATTTAAAAAGTATTGTTGTTTCTTTGTTGTTGAGCTATAGATGTTCCTCAGATATTCTAGATAATAACCCCACATCAGATATATGATTTTCAAATACTTCCTCTTACTCATAGATTGCCTTTTTATGCTTGATTTGTTGCAGAAGACCACAGAAAAACCAAGTGACACTTTAGAGAAAAGGAGTGACACTGTTTATTTACGCCAGCAGACTCAGGGAATAACTTTCCAAATCTGAGTAAAGTAACATGCAGGGGGCTTCTCTTTTATATCTCCCTGTGGTCTTTGTCCCGCAAATATGGATTATGCTTCCAGTCCTTTTTGCGGGCCTTGCAAGAAGGCCCCCAGGTGTTGGGGGTCTCCAGGCCATATCTGATGGTTTGGCCTGGCGCCAGCGTTAATAACCCTCCCTCCGGGGCAGTGCACTGTTCTCAGTTTTATGGCCTCTGTAACAGGTTCTGCAAGACCAGTATCTAGGAAGGAGGTAGTGACTTAATTATAGGTTATCAAGAATGTACACTGAGCTTGCTGGCATGGATTCTGATTGTTAGCCCCCCAAATATCAGGGTTACATTGGAATTAGCCCTTTTTAGCCTTCTCAGATTGTTTCCTTTGCTTCACAGATGTTCTAATGTTGGATGTAGTCCAATTTGTCTATTTTTGTAGGTTGTCTGTACTTTTGGTGTCATATTCAAGAAATCATTGACAGATCCTATGTCCTGGAGCTTTTTCCTTATGTTTCTTCTATCAGTTTTAGAGTTTCATATGTTTTTTTTACAAACAGGTGAAATATAAAATTAACTGGTATATGAGATATAATTTATGATTAAGAAGAAAAAGTACCATTTCCAAAATTTATAAAATAATTTTATTTTAGTATAATTCTTTCTTTCTTTCTTTTGTCTTTTTTTTAGTGTGATTATTTCTTACACAAAAATAATATAACCTTGAGATTTAGTGTCAACTATTCAAATTATGACATTCATAGTGACTTAAAACTTATTACAAATTCAGCAAAGTATCTAATTTAGTAAATTGCATCAGCTATTAGTATGATTCTTTAGTAATTTTTATAAATATTGAAGTTGGGTCTTATAACTGAAAGTAGAAATCATTTTCATGGTATCAATCTTCATGTATCCTGGTGTGATGCTCTGGTTGCAGGAATTCTGACAAAAGGGTTATATTTTGTACACTTTTTAGTGAACTTTTATAACATAATCTTTATTTGTATAATTTAAAATCAAGTTCACTTTTGGGTATGTGGATGTATATCTGTGAAAACCAGTTTTTCATCTTAAGAATT